CTCCTCCTCCCGCCAGGGCGGGGGGCGGCGGTGCCCGCCCTGCGCCCCCGGGAACGCCGCAGGGCCCGGAAAAAGGTGTCAGCGGGGGCGGAACAGCGTCCCCAAAGCTCTGGCTCCTCGGGCTTCACCAACCACAAAAAGAACGCCACGGGCTGCGGCTGCAATGAGGAAAGCAGCAAAGGAAGCTGGGCTGCCCACGGCCATGAGCGCTGTGGAGTGGGGAAGGGAAGGTGGCAGGCGTGTCCTCTCCCCTCTTCCGACGGGGTCCAGCAGGGAGGAGGGAAAGGCAGCCTCGAAGGCAGGAACAGCTCATACCTCTGTCAAAACTGAGCGTCCCGGTGAGCTTTACCGTGCCTAGAAAAAAAGAGTACAACCTCATGTTATTGTTCAGAGAAAAGCGGATAGTCCAGGGTTGCTGATGAGTTTTAAATTATTCTGTGGACTCCCGGCATATTGCTACAAGCACATTCGTCACTTTTATAAGTTGAATAAATAACACGGTGATTTTTCTGACAATTGATGGATTTTCCAAATACATTGCGTTTCTTTTCTACTTTTTTATTGCCAAATGCAATAGCGGATAATGGTTTAAATGTGGTGATGAAATAGTCTGTTTCAGAAAAGAACATCTGCAGTTTTGCCAGCTATCAACAGATGGCAAAGTATTTTTATTTTTGTTTGTGCAAATATTTAAGCTCTTAATAATACAGCCCAGAAAAATTTTAGTGACCATTTTAAGGCCATCTTCCCACAATAAACAAGAATCCTAGACCAGGAAATTCATCACCTTTACACCTGGGTATGCAATCATAGATGCATGGGGTGTTGCAGTATAGCTTTTCTGATTAAAGTGAATAACATCTGTTGCAGATTTGTCTTGACAGCTCCTGAAACCATCCAAAATAAAAATTTCATGCTTTGTCCAGGCTGTCTGCCTTCCACGTGAATAATTGTTTCATAATGTCCTCTTTGGACCTCCTTGTAGTTTTGCCTTGTATTGCATGCCACTCCTAAGGGAAGTTTAGCTCCCCTGCATTGTAATCCCCCCCTCAAGCAGCGGCGGGCTACTGCTGTATGGGCCCTTATGCTCTTCAACAGGAAAGGCAGGCCTGGGACACCTCAACACCTTCTTCAAGGTGATGTGATTTAGGTCCCAGCTGTCTTGGTAGCCTTCGCTGGTGATGCCCCGTCTTGATCTGAGAAAGCACCAAAGCGAGACTTGTGTCCAGCCAGTGTCTTGGCAACACCAAGCAAAGGGGGACAGGACCTTTCCTCAGCATGCTGGCTGTATTCCTGATGAAGGCTATGGTGTGATTTCCTCTCTTTGGGATCAGTGTGTGCTATGAGCTTGTGTTGGACTTGGCTTTCACATAACCCCAGGTCATTTCTGATGAAGCTGCTAGCCAGCCTGTTTCTCCACAGTTGGTACCAATAGAAGGGCTTACGTGGCCTTAGGTCCAGAACTGAACATTTATACTTGTGTTTCTCTGCATTAAACATGTTGAAACTTCTTCCAGCCCAGTCCAGAAGCTGCCTAAAGTCCCTCAGAATTTAAGCTCCACCATTTAGTGTGTCAGCCATCCCTCCTAACTTAGCATTACCTTAAAATAGCCCAAGTGCGTCCTGTCCTGTGGACCAGGTTTTTAATGAGACAATGCTCCATATGGACCCCTGTATCAACCCCTGGAGTACTCAACATGTTTTGGGCCTTCAGGCACATTGCCAAGCCACCAGTGCCACCCACTGAGCCTGTCAGCCTAGGCAGTTTTCAGTGCATTTATTAGACAACTTGTTCATGCCATAGTTCCTCAGCTTGTGAGTGAAAGTGCTGCAGGAAATAATTTCAACCACTGTAATAAAGTCAAGATCTATTGCAGCCAGTGCTCCATCCTTGTCCACTATAGCGAACCATTTCATTAGAGGATGCAGTCAGGTTGGCCAAGCGGGATTTGTTCTTCCTAAGTTAATGCCAACTGTTCTTGACTGCCTTCTTGTCTTTTACAGGTGTCTTTCTAGTAGAGCTTCATCAACATTCTTTCTGTATCTTGCAGCCTCTTTCTGGTTTCATGAATGGTTGAGAAAAAATCCTTCAGAACACAATCATAAAAATAATACAGAGTAATAATTTGTGTTTTGAATAAGATGCTGTATCTAGCTCAGAAATGCTATTGTTAAGGCTAGCTGATAACAGATGCATTGTCTTTTAACCCTTCTTGAATGTATCTATTCAGTGTACATGTTTAGTATTTATAGCAATTTAAATACAAAATTTGTTCTAGCATATTGATTAATAATTCTTTAATATGAATAAGTCTTATACATCTCACGTGTATGGAGGAGGTATGATTTTCAATTTTATTGTCTGATAAATTCTTTGCCACTGATGTCCTTAAGGTACATTTTCAGAATGAACACCTGAGCGATAATCACAAGGCTGGACTCACAGGCACTGGCCTCAGTGTAATTTTTGTTAATATTTGTCAATTCTGTAGCATTTATATGTGTATAGTTCGTCTGCATGCACTTTGTCTGATGTTTTGTGCATATTGCTTATTGACACTGGTTTTCTACCCCAGTTGTTCTTCAACAGTACTTGGAGGCATCATTTATGTGGTTTTCCAAGTTCCTATCAAACACATCATGTGTACTGTTAAATGCATGGACTCTCAGGAGGCTGGAGGACCACAACATAGTACAAATATTAGCTCTGTCAGGATTTTATTCCAGAGGAAGTAGCCCACAAACAGAAACAAATCAGCTCCATACAATTTTAAGCAGCTTTTAAATGTAATTCAGAAACTTCAGCAAGGATTAGGAAAGTCTCCCTACAAGGTATTAAGGTAGTGCTAAGGCTTAAATCTCAATCTTTCATCAGTCTCAGCTGGCTTTTTTTTCCATCTTTTGCCAGAACAGATGGCAATTCCAAAAAAGAAATCCCAAATAAGCTGGTTACCACAGAGTAATTATGATTTATAAGCTGGAGATGGCGCTCTCTGCCCACAGATTTCTGCTTCAACCGCATTTGCTGCTACCCGGTACCAGACTGAAATTGTGCTTCCATTTCTTTAAGAAGTAGAGCTGAGAGCAAGGGGTTGCTTTGCATACCTGGTGCAGTACTGTGAAAATCATCTCCCCAAACGCCAGGTGGCTGGAAGCAGACCCGGCCACTACTCCTAAGGTGGATCGTAATCAGTTTGTGGTTTATATAACGTAGAACAAATGATAACACATCAGGTTTTGAAAACCCTTATGTGTTCTGCCAGCATGGGCACAGTAAACCTTGTATTGGCCAAATATCTTCAGGAAAAATAATTAATTGATGGGATTCATTCGTTACCATCTGGCAGGAAAAGAAAAAAAAAAAGAAAATGTTGTGTAGTTCAGTGGACAGGGCAAAATGGTTGTGTATCACAGACTCATCAGGAAGGAATAACAGCCTTGATGCCCTCCCTAATAGCAAAAAGATTGGTGAGCACCTGTCAGACACTATAAATGGTCATTTCAGTTCTCCAGACTATAGTATCTTCCTTTGTCTGAGGCAATCTTAGCAACTATATAGAGTTAGCTCCACTCTCCCGTGTGGACTGTCAAAGCTGTTGAGAGGCACCTGAGAGAGGCACCGTGCACTGATACCTGTGCCAAGGGCTGGACATCTGCTGAGACTTACTTCATAGAATTATGGAATGGTTTGGGTTGGAAAAGACCTTAAAGGTCATCTAGTTCCACACCACTCCAGTGGGTGGGGACACCTTCCATTAGACCAGTTTGCTCAAAGCCCCTCCAACCTGGCCTGGAACATTTTCATGGATAGGACATCCACAGCTTCTCTGGGCAATATGTTCCAGTGTCTCATCACACTCACAGGAAAGCATTTTTTCCTAATATCCCATCTAAACTTAGACTCTTTTGGTTTAAAGCTATTCCATCTTGTCTTGTCACTACATGCCCTTGTAAAACATCCCTCTCCATATCAGAAGGTTGAAGAGAACTTACACTTATGGTAGCATTTCAGTAGTCAGCAATAACTGTCCAGAGGGTACCTGTTCAGTGTAGCTAACCGGTGGCATCACTACCAGAAAGAAAAAGTATGTTCTTGCTGCTGTTGCATAACATCAAGCTTTCAGTGATTAACAAAAGATTTTCTATCAGAACCTTTAGGATTAGCCTATCTAAACCTTCAAAATGAAGAAAAAGTTGTTTTACCTTATATGTTTAACAGATCTGCAAAGCCAAGAGTAGAACTTTAGAACAGCACATTTGGGAAAAAAAAAAAAAAAAAAAAAGTCAGTTTAAGAGCAAATCAATCTTACATGAGCAGAACATTTCTAATGTAAAAAGGCAGCTGAATTAGAGGATTAGGTCACACTGCCTGATTAACATCATTTGATCTTTTGCTATTGAAAAGCCACTGGTCTTCTCAGAGAATGGAAGCATTCAAACTTTAAATGACACCACAAGCCTGGCTTAGAAAAAAACCTGCTAAACTGAAAACAACTTGCCTTGCTTCAGTAATTGTTGGTTTGTCTCTGCTGGGGGGGGTGGTGCGCATCCAAATCAGGATTTAGAAATCCCTCACATTTTACTATAACAAAGAAGGACTGCAAAACTGAATGAGGGCATCTTGGGCACAATGTGGGAGAGGTTTACAGCATGTGACTCTTGCCTTGCTTTGCCATATCATATTTTTTTCTTGTTTAAAGGTGGAAGACAGATACTCAAATATCTGTTTGATGTCTGTTTTCTTTATTACACGTTCCCGTTGGTTTTGCCTTTTGAATTTTCCAGGGATAGGAGGTAACAAAAAAAAAAAAAAAAAAGAAAGAAAAGCAGCTCACCTTGGACCACAGAACCTACTCAGAATCTGAGAGGTACCTGCTGATGACATTTGGTAAGAGAGCAAGAGAGGGAGTTCTAGATACAGTTTTTATTGTTTTTAAAACTGAATTTGTTTTTACTAAGGAACATGTTTAAACAAAGAAGCTTTTCTTAAAATTATACCTCTTTCTCATGAGCCTCAAAGTGAAATTGTAACAGATTAGCCTTGGTCTTCTGAAATTTTCTAAGGTAAAGCAAGAATGAGGGAACCATTCTATGATATAATTAAGTCTTTTGTCACTGGAAACACCAAGAACAAGAATAAATCCCATTTTAAAAAATTCTCTGGATTTTCCTGTTTTCTCTTAAAAAGCTTATACTGTTTTCACTTATTTGTACTTAAATGGGTTTTGAAGGGATATTAACAATCACCTGCCATTGTCAGCACTTAGTAAAGTAAACAGCAAGCAGACATATCAAAGAATTTATTTCCTATCTCTAATGATCTGATGATGAGTTTGCTCAAAGAATTTTTCTGTGATTTTTGTAAAGTACTAACCAGTTTCCACAAGCAATGTATTTTTATTCTTTTTAAAAATGCTCATTTAATATTCATGATGTTATTTTCAGTCATAGTGTTATTTCAGTTTCTAGAGATGGAGGAAAGCAGTATTTTAAGACACAGAAAAGCTGTGAATATTCTTGTTATTCCCCCAGTCATGCTTTTAAGCACTGCACATTCATATAATGAGCACACAGATCCTGCTCAGACTTTTGCTTTTCAGACGTATCCCAAATGTCAGCCAAGTCAGACCCTGCTTAGCTTCCAAAATCAGATGTGATCGGGCATGTAACAATGTAAAGAAAAATAAACCCTGAAAGGCACTCTGAATTATAATGTACATTTTTTTTCCCCTGACATGCAAGAAAGAACAAAATGGAAGTTTTATCACAACTCTGCTTCCTTTTGGGTGCCCCCACCCTCCCTTATTACTGTGAGCAACGTTTTCTCAAAATAAAGGCACACTGATTTGTTTGTTATTTTAGGCTCTGAGAAGCAGGTCAGACTGGAACCCTGTCCAAATACATGCCCCTGGTTCCATTAAGGACCTCGGCAGGCACTTATCTCCATCCTTTGCGGAGCAGCGCATTGTCTTGCAGAGAGGGCCGCTGACACTGCCCGGCTCTGTCTGTCGCTCACCGATGGACGTGCTTGTGCAGGCCGCCCCGAGCCGCAGCCGCTCCTGTCGCTTCTCACACAGGCAGAGATGCACGTAACTAGCGGCGTTAGCTTCCTGCACCCACACACACACACACACTGCTCGGCCATTATTTTGACGGCTGGTGACAGGGCTGTGGAGCCTCCCTTCCCCTCTGTCACCCTGCCCGGCAGCCGCAGCTGGGCGGCCTGGTTTGTGCCCTGCCAGCCCCGGAGGGAGCGGGGAGCAGGGGGAGCAGCCTGGGCCCGGAGCGCCTCGCTGCAGGGCCTTCCCTTCACGGGCTCTTCCAAGGGCAGGGTCGCTGGCCACAGCTGGGGGCAGCACTCCCTCCCCTTTCGTGCGACCGATACAGCTCCTACACTAACAAAAAAACTCCGCTTTGCTATTTTTTTAAAAAATATTTGAGCCCTTCTGACATCCCTTAACAAAGCACACCAGCCATAGGCATGCTCCTGCTAATCTGAGGGAACCTCTTGCATGGGCCTCTGCCTTCTAACCTGAGATTGACTTTAATTATCCATTATTTTTCCTTCCTCCCTGTGAGCCTCTTGCTGAATGCATTGTGCCACCCAGCATATTAGTCAATCATCGCAGCTTACGGAGCTCTATACTTCACATCTTGGCTTCGGCGTCATTCATGTGCACGGAGTGAAGACAGCAACCACTTTTAAGATGCTGGATAGATTTAAGCATGCTAGGGCCTGTCTGTCCCTATAGTAAATAGCTTTACTGACATTTAAGCTGCACATGGCTTGATGTTAGGTCAAACAAAAATGTCACACTATAATCACTTTTTAAATAGCTGTTTCCGGCTCAGTTAGTACTGTATAGTTCCAGAAGAGAAAGCACTTACAAACTGACAGACAGAAAGGGGAACCGTCTGTATAGGATGTTTGCCTAATCCCATCCCCGCCCTTGCCTGTCAGGCTTGGAGGCTTTGTTTGTTTAAAAAAAAATAAATTTGCTTATACAATTTAATGCCACTGTACTTTTCATCTGGGCAGACACTAAAGCAAACTCACGAATGAGTTCTGGGGAGAACTCACAGCTTTGATGTAGCTGTGAGGGGGTTGGGTGGCCCAGGGGGCACCCAGCTCTCAGCAGTTTTGGGGCTGATACTGTGTATGGAGGCACTATGCTTCTGAGAATCTATTGCTGCAAGAAGACATGTAGGTAAAATCCTAATGATCTCTGACAGTGGAAAATGTGAGGGTTTTCATATTCCCTGATACCACTCCTTAAATTTGTCTGTACCTCTGGACCAGCCTGTGAAGGACATGGACCATGGCAAGCCAAGCCAGACTTGCTTCCTCTCTCAGACACCTTAGTTTGTGTGTGATGGTCTCCATATAGAATCACAGAATCATTTAGGTTGGAAAAGACCGGTGTGGTTTCACTGAGGCTCTGGCATCCTGCCCTACCACCCTAGGGAGGAGGATCCCCATGGGGCACAGCAGTGGCTCGCCAGAGGGCACAGCAGGTCCTCATTCCCCATTAACACAGACTGGCACTGGGTCAGAGTGCCCTGTGATGATGCTGAAGTGTGTATGTCTTTATTCTCCACCCCATATATGGCTGAATGAAATACTTGCATCCCACCACTCAGACCCACCGTCCCAAATGAGCTACGTGTGCAGTGCTGCCCACCTGCAGTTTTGTCTTTGCCCCACAAGTTCTCCTGGAGATTATCAGCAGTTTCTTTTGTGTCAAGAGACAGCTGTAATCAGAAGGTGGATCAGTGGAATGCAAAGCACTTGTAGAAGGCAACACATAAGAGATTTTGTCTATAAAGATGAATAAGAGTGCATGATCTTTTTGGAAGAACAGAAACCTGTGAGGGAACAAAGCAGTTTGTCATCAGCAGTTTAGCAGCAAGGAAAAAACCAGTCTCTCTTGGCTTCCACTGTAGCCTTTTTAATCTAATTTGATCTCTGGCTTTATTATATCTCACCAAGTGGCAGTCTGAGAACATGGTATAGATGTGACTAAATGCCACCATGAGAACTGAGCCCAAGCCTTGAACACCCCTGGCTGCTGCTTCACAGAGGCTGCTGACCCCTGCTTGTAGGTCTGTTGTAAGTCATTTCCTTTCCTGATTAGGTCAGAACAGTGGCACCAACCTGAATGTGTCAACATGGGGATTTCCTGCTGTGTTGATTTTCCTCAATCCCAAAGCTGTATGCTATACTTATTAAATTAAAAAAGCAAATTTATTCCTGTAAGACATATATTTCCAAGCTGAATTTACACAGTAAGCAGTATATCTTAACACATTCCTCATTTCACATCATAATTACAGCGGGTGATGGCTACTGTCTGATCCCATAATAGTGAACATGATGGAAAAACAAATCTCTATTACATTCAGACTGTGGAAGATAAGCTTTTACCAAATACAATTGCAAATTATGGGGCACTGTGTAGGGGGTGCTCCAAGAGGTAGGACAAGTTAAACTCTTGTTTACAACCATCCAATATTTCTTAACCCAGATGCAACTCTTGTTGCACCTCAGATTTGTATCAGCAACCCTTTCTTTTTAGGTAGTTTGCTGGGAATGATTGTGCCTTTGCTTAACCCCTGGTGTGAGGGTGAGTGGTTGCCATTGCATGCACACTATGGGGAGTCACTTTGGGGCTGTTGGAGAGTTCCTCCTGTCCAGGAGATGAGCAAGGAATAAGCAGAGGGATGGAATATATACACAGTGCACAGTAAATTTACTAAAAATGACCATGCATTTCAAGTCAAGCTGCTTGTCCCTGTGTTACACTCTTTGCCAGTACAAAGAATGAAACAGAGCTAGAGGAGCCTAGAATGAATGAGCATTCCTGAGAAAGCACAAAAAATAGTATTGACTGAAAAACAAATGCTGTGATTTGGGATCTTAGACAGATTCACAAGCCAGGGAAAAGGAAAGGCCCAACTGATGATAGAAACTGAGATAGAAACTTTCTAAATATAAGTTTACATTCTTGTGTTGTTGAGTTCTTCCTTGTAAAACACACAGAGTAGGGGTGGGCAATGGCAGTTTTGTTACCAGCTACATGTGAGATCATGTATGCCATGATGAACCATCAATTAAATACAATGTTTAAAGATGTAAGCTACCACCTTTTGTTTTGTCTGCTCCTCATCATCATCAAATAAAGACTTAAAGAACTCAGGCAAGAGAATATTTTCTTCAGTCTTACAACATTTAAAATACATTCAGGCATTCAGCTGGAAGACATTTCCTAGTAAATAAAAATTTAGTAAGTAAATATTATTTAAACTCTCCCAATTATCTCTTTGAGGATTTTTTCTCCTTGTTAAAAATACTTAGCTTCCTTTTTATTGTACTTCACATTCACAAGATTTAGTTGTAAGTGATTAGTAGCACATTCTTCCAACATCACAAATCCTTCTTGTTTATGAGGACCACAGAATGATGGAATCATTGAGGTTGAAAGGGATCTCTGCAGATCATCTGGTCTGAGTGCCCTGCCCAAGCAGGGTCAGCAAGGGCAGGTGATCTAGGACCATGTCCATACAACTTTTGACTGTCTCCAAGGATGAAGACTCTGCAACCTCATATTCAGTGACAAAATACCATCCCTTTGTGCCAGCCTTAAAAGGAGAGGAACTTCCCATCAGCAGCAGCTTAAGTGGGGGAAAAAAAAGGACACACTAAATTGACAACTAAAAAGATGCTAACATTTCCAGTTTTTGCTTTGCTGACTCCACAATCTTTAGTTATATGTAAAAATTTACAGAAGGATTTTATTAAGTGATTCTTTGCACCCACAACATTACTGTTTCTTCAAAAATGGATCATAAATCTTCACAAATTTTTAAAGCTAAAACCTGCAGCCATATGCCATTGAAGTTCCCAGGGATTTTTCGGTATTACAAATTGTCTTCTGCGCTACTACAGCTTTTCATAGCCTGAATTTTCCATATGGGAAATCTAATACAGCAAAATCAACCTGAATTTCTTCTGTGCAGAAAAATACTGATTTTAACTTACCTGCCTTTTAAGCCATGTTTCTTTAGAGGAGTCAAGTATTTAGAGTGTTTATTTTCATCTCTTTATTTTTTTGGGGGGGGAGTGGATTTGTTTGTTTGTTTGGTTTTTGTTTTTGGAGAAAGACTTCATCTGAACATTTGATCTTGAATATATTTTATGTTTTAATGCAAATTTTTAATCAGTCTATAGGTTGTACAGACATATCTAAACAAAAGACACACTTTTTTATGAAGCGGGTATCTCAGTTTGGCTTTTTGGCCAAGTGCATTGACAGAGGTCATCCATACGTCCCTTCCCAGGTGGAGCTGTGTATCTGCTCCGTGAGAATTGTGTATTTAGTTTTTAATTGTTTTGCTAAGAGCAAAATTACTGAATGTTTTCACAAGCAGAGGAGTGAGATGCCTGCCAGAGAGCTCTCTGAGTGTGAGAGTAGCACAGCACGCATATGAAGACTGAAGAAAGCATTTCAAGACCGCTGGAAGTTGCAATACGCCTGTGCAGGGCACCCTGACAAAATGTTGTGCAAAAGTGTTCCAGTGCAGGGCACTGACAGGTCAGTGCAGCGACATTAGGAGGATTAGGACAGCAATGATGGAACGATGATTCCTGAATGAACAAGAAAAATCCTCCTTGCTTTCTGACTGTTTGGTGGGTCATTCAAATTAATGATACAATGGCACAAAAGAAGAGCATTATAAAATCGTTGGGGTGAAATTTGTGATTGTCTTGGATAAGGTAGCTGGCTGGCCTTTGCAAACTGGTAAACTTGTAAACCGAGCAATTCACAATTCACAACAAAAGCTACCCCAATAAAACATTTGTCTGCTGGCTTCTTTGTCTAGCTACTTTTTTTTTGTTGTTAAAAGGTTTGATTTTTACACAGCTTGTCAGAAAGATTCTTGCACTCTCAAAGTTCTGTATTTTCTTTTTCTATGCGAGCATTTCAGTCAAACCAAATATGACAACTTAAAGATGTGCAGATGGCTTTTGAGCTGGAGAAAACTGGTTGTCTAAACTAACTGGTAGAAAGGGGAATCTTCTACTTGTTTGACTGAAATTTGGCTCTGTTAATTTAGTAACAACCTTTTCCTCAGCATTTGTTCATATCTTAAAGATTTTTACCTTTCCTAATATGGATCATGATTCTACTAATGGTAAGCACTTTTTTATTATTTTTTTGTTTGTTTGTTTGGAAAGTCCAAGGGATAAGTATAAATTCCCTCAAATACCCAATTTAATAAATATTTTGTTTTGTTTTTTTTTTTTAATTTGGTTGTTTGTTTTGTTTTTTTTTTTACACTGGAGTATGTCCATTATTCATTACTATTACTTGACTTTCTCTTGTGGACATTTTGGTATAAAAATTTTAAAAATAGCAAGCATGTGCCGAAAGGTGAAAGAGAAATTCTTCCTTTCTCACAAAGCCACAAAGCTTCTTTTCCATTATTGAATACTTGGTTTTTTTCTTTTTTTATTTCAGTATTTTCTTTAATATTTTTCTTTTCAATTTCCTGTTCCCTTGTAACTTAGCTATGTTATAAGGTAAGTAGTCTAAGTAGATATTAATCTGAAATAAAAAAGTGTTTTGCTCAACAAAAGCTGCAAGACTCAGTTTGTTGGCAGAGGAAAAAGTGTTGGTCTCGCCCTTCCCTGTTCTTACTAAGGAATGTTTTAATGTCCAAATTAGAAGACTAAAGTACTATCAAGCAATAACATTTCAGGTAATTGAATTTGGGATTTGTGAGGTTTTTTGTGGTCATTGCTTGGTAATTAAGGGTTGGTCTTGGATTTTAACTTTTCATTTTTGAAATATGAACTCATTTTTTTCAGACGGATTAATCAGACATTTTGTGGCTGATGGCCAAGATGCTCAGTTACAGATTTAGATATAAAGTTACAGCTCCATTTCATGCAGCTTTTTGCTTTGAATTTGTGACTTACCACATGCACATTAAAAGGGGAGAGCAACAGTGAGCAGCTGCCACACATCCCCTATTTCACTTGTGAGCAGTGAAGTGCTTGTGCAACACCGTGCATCATCCCTGCGGGAAGCCCATTCCTGAGCGGGGAGTCCTTGGACCCAGCAAAATGTTTTCCTCACCTCTGAATTCAGCTGGGAGCAACAGGCTGTACCGTACCAAACACAGTTTGTTGGCATCCGCTTGAACTTTATTCTGGTGGGGTTTTTTTACCTCTTTTCTGCATGTAAACACTTCTTCAGTAAACCTTTCTGTTGGCTTCTTGGCTGCAGTATCCCTGGAAAAAAAAGGAGATCTTTTGTGACCTACAAAACGTGGAAATGGGAGTTTCAACAAGTGGTTGGAAGGGATGCCTACAAAATCTTGTTTGCAGGTGTTTTTTGGCCATCCAGCAGAGCACAGAAAATGCCACAATCACACTGTCTGTGAGGAACACAGCTGAGATACAGGCTGGACAACACTCTAAGCTTGTTTTAAAGAGTTTCCTGGCCAAAAAATATTCTGCTAAAGAGGTCATTAGTAATTTTTAATATTAAATATTTTCATTACTTGAACTTTTCGCAACAACAAAATACAAATGTGTCACTTTTAAAATATGGTCACTGGAAATAATTTGCAAATAAGCAATCTTGTCAAAGATAGCCTACCGAAACAATTCTGTAAAGCACTTTTATTTAGGAAATTACGTTTACTGCTCCAGTATCAGATACTCTCAAAAACGTGTTCTAAAAGATGATCCTGTGCCAAAATCTTTGGGATTCTTCCAGTCCCACTAGAGTTGTGTGAGTTTAATCCAGTGCTGTTCTATTATCATAATCAATGTATTTTTGACAAATTAAATAGAACATTTAAATGCTTTATTCAAAGTATTTTGAAAAATAGGTAATTTTTTTATCCAAAGCATTTTCATGTATTTTTATTTTCTCATAGGATGCCTCTGTTTAAATTTCTCCCTCATTCAGTCCTTAAAACCTTTTTATGTTCAGGGGGAGGATGGACAACGCAAGCATGTGCTAACAATTGCTGTTATACTGAGTGTGAGAACCGGGGAAAAATACTTATCTTCAAATCAACTGAGTAATTTGGACAAATCAGTCATTTGTTTTCATTTTTTAAATTAAAATAGGAATACCAGGTCACAAACTGTCATTCAAAATTTAAATAAATCTTTCTGGAAATATTTTTTCACAATTTTAGTTCTATTTTTCATCCAAAACTCTTTTAAACTTTGACATAAATTCTTGCATATTTTCAGCCTCTGTCTCATTCTACTGACAGATAAGCCACATAGGTAAAAAAAAATTACTTGCTCCAAAGGTACCACTTGCATATTGGAAAAGTATCTGTTGCTTAAACAGCAGCAATGGTTAAAACTACAAAATTTAAATTTATCATCCAGTCCTATGAAACAAAACCACACTACCTTTTTAAAGGAGAATATATATATATATATGTATATGTGTTCGACTGTTTGCTTTTGAATCAGCCATGGCTGCTGTTTGATCACAAATTTGAATTATGGAGACAATCTTCCAGGGCCTGCTGGTAATTAATCGCTGTAACTTGTGTGTGCCTTTGTGAATCCAGCAGTGTGGCTGCAGATAAACAACTAATTAGCACTTTTATACAAGTGAGGTGGATTTCCAATTACTGCTATCTCCCCCCTCCCCCTCTTCTTCACATGCATTTTTCTTAGGCATTAGGGATGCCTCATGGCTTACCAAACCAGATAGTCTTGTCTTTCTCCCTTTCTCTCTCCACCATTCAGCAAGGGTTTAATCCAAGCCATGCTGCTGAACTGCTGTGCCTGCCCTCATGCTGCTGTCCTGGTGGGAGAAGCCTTTTGAAGGAAAGAGTGAACTTTTTCGGTAAAACAAGAAAATGTAAAAAGCATTTTGACAAGAACAGTGGTAGTAGTTTATAATCAGACGTAGCACTGCCAGAGAGCTCTACTGGGAAGAGGCTCTAGAATTATCCCAGGTCCCTAGATTAGCTCAGGACTAAAGGGAAAAAAATGTGACCAGCAGTTATGTAGTGTATATGGGCACAAACTAGGAAATCCAGAGGAATCTGTAACACGGTGTATTACAAGCAGCAAAGAGGTGCAAACCAGTCCTGTGACCTGCTTATCTACAGAAAGCTGGGACTTGATCCAGCTACTTTGATCCTCCGAGAAAGGAGGGAATGCAGCATCATGTACAGCTAATTTGGTAGAGTTCAGCTAGAGTACAGCTCCAGCCCTAACGGGGCCAGATGGCGTGACCCCGTGCTGTGCTGCCTGCCTGCCCAAAGCACAGCACTTCCCTTTGGCTGACAACTGCCTTTCCACCACGTGGGATTTCTGTCTTCAAGAGTTGCTTTAAGAAATAAATGCCTTGCACTTCTTTTGCTCTGAAGAGGGGCCCACCTCTTGAGCACAGTAGTCCTCTGTTTCCACCAATGTATTTGGAAATCTTTACAGCATTCCACCAGTTGCCAATGCAACTTTGATGCTTTATTTCTCAGAGGCAGAGCAAGTATGGAACATATTACCTTGCTGGGAAAATTCTGACTTGGATTATTGCTTTGGCACTTTCCAAGTGGCCTTCTCACTCTCTATCCCAAAGTGTCTCCCAGGGTAATAAATTACAGTACTCACAACCAGTATGACCTCACTCAGTAAGATCCACCTATGGCCAGGAATAGCTCCATCTTGCTGTTAGTTAATTAGTGGTGTCATTCATTAACTGAGGAAGTGAGAGCCAGGAAGCAACCCTTTACTCCTTATGGCCGGTGGCACAGCATGGCACAAAAGCCATCTAACCAGTCACCATCAGCTGGCTGAAGGGAGGTTAGATATTGACAAGGAGTTTGTTCCTCTGGTCCATGAGAGAGGCCTTGCACACACAGAGTCACCCTTGCATGCACACCCCATGCATGGTAACATTTAGGGTTGTCATCCCACCTTTCTGCAAGCAAGGCCTGAGCTGCTGTTGCCTTAAGTTTTACTGCTCTGGCCTTAAACCTTAACCCTGTGTAATCTGATGGGGGTGGCTTCCCAGTCCTGCAGACTGGTGCCCTCTAAATCCAGGATTTGTAACCTTGCTCCTCTGATGACAGAGACTGGTGTATCTAATCACACACAGCACACTGATATAGGATTAGGGGAACCCAGTGTGGCTGCTTGCTGCTTCTTTGTGGCCATCCAGGGAGCCTTTCTGGGAAAAAGGATCAAAGAGTCCATATTTTGATGTGGAGTGAAAAAGGCATCTCTGCTTCTGCACCCTAGCGTGGTTAGTGCCCAACTTTGATTCTTGCAAGCCCAAGTGCTAAACTGAGGCACAATCCCATGGAGACCTGGAGGAGCAGAACACAGCTCCTTGTGCTCCAGAGGGAAAGGTCCACACTACCCCGCTATCTGGAAATGCTGGCATGGGTGCTGCTGGCAGCAAGCAGAGGCTGATGCTGCTCACAGTCCCCCAAAAGGGCACAAGCAGTGCCCAGCCCTGCCCTTCACACTGAAGGCTTTCTTCCTCTGCAAACAGAGCTCGAGGTGAGGCCTTAGGAGGATTTTGATCCATATGAAAGGCGTGCAGAGAGCACTGCAGAGACATGTATGAGCCTGAATTCATCTGTAGTCTCAAGATCCCATAGATATGCAGAAATGCTATGATGGGCTTCTCCCTGAATGCTGGCATTCTTGGCCTTTCTGCTCCTTCACAGACACCTCTCTGACAGCCTACAGAGCTCTTTGGTATCACTCCTTATTCCATTCAGAGTTCATCCACCTTTCTTAACCCCCTTTACTCTGTCAGCAACCTTCCTCACCCTCCCACAGACAACAGACATCCAGTTCCCCCCTAGAACTTTTTTTTTTTAACATATGAAAAATTCCTTCTTGCTTTTCCCTTTCCTCCTCTGCTCTGCTCCACACCACATATTCTGGAAGTCACCTTCAGACCACACTGGAGTGTTACCTCTATTGCCCAGGGCTTGGATCATGTTACAGCTTTCCTCTTCTCACTAAAGATGTGTGCTCTGATTTGAACTTCACCAAAGTTCAGGGATGTTTGGAATCTGGACTTCTGGCTTGGACCCCTCTCAGTGCCTCGTGTCAGCTTCTAGGAGTTGACAGAAGTTGTTTGCAGCTGAGGCAGCCAGATCTGCAAGATGCAAATGACCAGGAATAACAGAATTAGCTCTCCCATTAAAGCTGGTCCCATGAGGAATTGCCTGGTTTCTGGAGATATACCAACATATCTTTCTTCCCAGGCAATGCTCCCCTGGCTACTGGAAAACTCAACAAGCAAAGAGATTCCAGGAGTCTAGGGTCATACATCCTGGCCTGGATGGCACACACCTTCATATTCTTGCTTTCCTTTCAAGGGACTGGGCTAGGAGAAGGTGATGGAGAAGATCCTTGCAGTTAGGTAATGCCATTTGGCACATGGCTGCTTTCCCTTTGCAATGGCTGCGCAATGGCTGCAATGGAAAGAACAAATGTTCTTTTGCTTTATATTTATTTTACCAGAGTAGGCTTGGCCAGCTTAGCTTTGACTCCTTAACAGGACACAATGTGCAAAGGATGGTGGGGGTAAGACTTGCTTCAAAGCCCTTGTTGAAGTGCAGACTGAGTTCCTCTCCTGGCACCTCACCTCAGCAGCGTGGCACCCGTGGGGTTATGCCTGCTGCTGCTGGGGGATGTGAGCGAGGCATTCCAAGCCTGTGCTCTCCGTATGCCCTCAGCCTGCCCCTCAGGGAGGAGACCTTACAGCACCTGCCAGGTGTCTGTGCAAGCCCAGGGGAGCCTGCACAGTGTCAAAACAAACAGGGTTGTCATTTTCTCTTCTTCTGCCTACAGGAACCGAAAATTTCCTTCCTGTCCTTTCCTCCTGACAGAAAATAGGCAGCTGAGAGACAAGCCAGAGAGGCTAGGGAAGACCAGTGACCCACACACTCCCGGGATAGGAGGGAGCTGTTGCAGCCCAGGCTATTTTTAACCTGTTTTTGTTGCACACTGGCAGTCGCGTCTCTCATTGCTTTCTTCCTTCTCTGTGTCTCTGTGTGTCTTTGCAGCTCCTTCCTGCTACCGTGAGATGTGTGAACTATATATGGCCTGGGAAATCTGCACCAGGCAGTATTTTTAAACCAGGCCTCCGCTTTGCAGGCTGCTGTGACGCAGTTCATCCGACTTTGCGAGTTTCTCATGGGAATGCAGGGTGCCCGGCAGCAGCCTGCGATACTTGGCTGTTGAGTTTTTGGCCTGCACGATGCAACCCTTGGGGCCCAGGCTAACATCTCAAGACTTGGGAAGCAGCAGACCTTGTGTATGTGCAGGGGAGGGTTTGAGCCTGGCTGTCATCACAGTGCAGCTTTCTGGATGTCAGCTGCAGGTCTCCGAAGTGAGGTGACTTTTCCAGCTGGCCAAGTGTTGCCATCGAATCTAGGCACAGCGATGATCTATCTCCCTAGGTACCTGCCCTCCTGCAGAGCCTGTGTCTCTTTTCAGAGTCCCTGTTCATACCCTCTGTGGAAATGGTATGGGTTTTGTTATATTTGGAACAGGTTTGCTGTGATGAAACCCTGGAAAATAGACATCCAGTGTAGAAAAGACTGATTAAAAATACATGTAGAAATATTCGTGAACAAAATTTCACCTGCTTCACATGCCAAATAAACTTTTGTTCTTTCCTCTTCTTCCACAACTAAAATTCTACCCAAGTAAAAAGGTACTACTGAGGACAAAATATTTCCTTATGAGTTGTTTGCTTTTTTTTTCTCATTGCTATTTTAAATTTCTGCTTTAGATTCAACATAGGGAAAATAAAAGGTTGGTCTGAGACTCTTTGCTGGAAACGTTCTGTCCAAAAACATTCTTTGAACATTTTCACTCTGAGAAAAGACAGGAGACACTTTTATTGTCTACAGCATGAACATCCATTTTTCTCATTGTGTCAGCTTTTTACTGAAATTCTTGAAGAAGATAAAAAATATGTTTTAGTCACTCAGAGCCTTGTAAATTAAAGAGTCAATCAGATTTTCTTCTGTGAAAAAAGCTTTGTTTATTCTTCTTTTAATATTTATGATGCATATAGATTTAAATTAAATAACCACTATCTGAAGATTCTCTTATATGACTCTACTGCTGTTGCAGAATGAATCATAGAACCATAGAACTGTATAGGTTGTAAAAGACCTCTAAGATCATTGAGTCCAACCCTTAACCCAGCACTGCCAAGTCCACCACTAAATCATGTCCCTAAGTGCTACATCTACACATCTTTTAAAATCCTCCTGGGGTGGTGGCTCCACCAGTTCCCTGGGCAGCCTGTTCTGATGCTTGACAACTCCTTTGATGGAGAAATTTCTTCTAATATCCAATGCAAACCTCCCCTGGTGCAACTTGAGGCCATTTCCACTTGCTGTATTATTACATTATAATACATGTATTACATGTGTTATAATGTAATAATATACATGTATTATAATACGTGTATTACATGTATTATGCTCATTACCTGGGAAAAGAGACTGACCCCCACCTGACTACAGCCTCCTTTCAGGCAGTTGTAGAGAGTGATAAGTCTCCCCTGAGTCTCCTTTTCTCCAAGCTAAACATCCCCATGCTCCCTCAGCCACAGGTGGTCCAGATGCTTCATCAGTTTCATTTCCCTTCTCTGGGCTCACTTCAGTGCCTCAATGTCTTTCTAGCAACCAAGTGTTGAAAATTGAATGCAGGATTCAAGATGTGGCCTCACCAGAACTGGGGAACATGGCCCATGGCCTTCTGGCCAGAGGATTTCTGATACAAGCTGACCTTTCTCACATCAGCTAACTGGGCCACTTTGTCACAGAAGGAGATCAGGCTGGTGAAGCAGGACCTGACTTTTACAAATCCACACTGGCTGGACCTGATCCCCTGGCCAGCCTGCACACGCCACAGGAATGCACACAATCTGATCTGATCCATGAGCTTCCCTGGCACTCAGTTCAGGCTGATAGACCTGTAGTTCCCCAGATCTTCCTTCTGACCCTTCTTAGAGATGGGAATAATTGATGTGCTTGTCTGCAAACATATATTTGCAAATATATTTGTGTTCCTATATAAGCACATACTTTTATCTACTGTTGTTTATATTGTTTTTCCTCAGTAGTAATTCTAACTCTAGCAGTGAAGAAGATATGTCTTCGAGATACAGTTGATTTTTATAGATTTCACTGTGTTTTGGACCACACCCATCTAATTTTTTTTTTTAAATGCTTGATTTTAGATCCATGAAAATACCTGTAATTTGTGAAGATTACCCTTTTAGACGTTAAAGAATTACACAGTTTAGGGAATGCTGATCAGTGTTTATACAGTAATAATTTGACCTCAACACCACTCCATCCAATTTATTTTAACTGCTAATAAGGCACAGTATTTCAGTTTGCCAAAAGTGAATGATTGCAGATGTTATCAGAAAACCACGGGGTTTGGTACAATGACACTAGGCACTGTTATGGAGAAGACTCAGACCCGTCTAGACCAGTGTAGTCTCTGTGCCCAGGAATTTTTTTCATGCTTTTTTTCATGGTTAACTTCTTGGTTTTATAAACATTTAGGTAAAACAACACCAAGGATGTGAGTTTAACGGTATTAAAAGAAAGCATGGGATATGGGTAATATAATAGGTAAGACAAAGGAGAGAGATAAACCCTCATTACTTCACTGGTGATAACCACCCCCAGGCATTATTTAGGAGCCCAGTGACGTTAGTAAAGATGCATTCCCACTGAGTAAAGAAAATATGGGATAAAATTCTGACAATGTGGAATAGTAGACTTTATCTTGCTTGATGAATTTTATTTTCCAAGTAGATATTTGCTCATGGTTTATCTTTACACAGTATCATATCAAAACTTGTCTTCTTTCTATCAGAAAAGGTCTTTGTTTAAGCACACCCATTACTTCAGGATCAAAATGGTTTTGTCATTCCAGAGATGCTTTCCAAAATGTTCCCATGACATGAAGTGGTCAGTGGACTTCTAATTCTGCAGATGCCAATAAGAATCCAAGGTCTAAGAGGAAGTTCATTTCTGGGCAGTGAGAGCACATTGTGGGTGGTCAGAGATGCCACAAAGCCTATGACTTCAGCCACCTGAGAAATTAAATAATGACCCCTGACTGAGGAAGCTTGCGGGCATTACATCATTTACACATAAAAACAAAAAATAGATTTATAGGGCACATGGGTGGCTGTGAGCCAGCAGCCACTCTAGAATTCTCAGCTATATCCAACAGACTAATGTCCTTTAATACCATTCTTTGTAGAAAGGGATCCCACAAACCTACTCCTCCTCTACTTTGGGTTTCTGTTTCTCAGTTGTTGCTGCAGATTGACTGTGACTCTCAGATGTCTTGCCTAAACTGCAGCTGTACCGGGTGTGATTTGCACTGAAGGAATAGGATGTGTGCCAGGTGTTTTTCCAAACCAGTGTAGCCGTGGAAAGATGAACTGCTGCTGCAATTTTAATGGGGATTTGGAACCAATTTAAGGGATTTCTAGAGCTCTGATGTGTTTGAAATATTTTATTGTGGTGATACTGGCTATTCAGAGGTGGGAATAGGGTTGTTCTGTTTCAACCCTTTATCCTAAAGTGTTGCTAACAGTCTGAAAAAAAATTATTTGAAAAAAAAATTATTGTACAATACAAAAGTTGGAGAACCAATAGCTTACAGTAGTAAGCAAGCAGCAACAGAGCTGCAGCCAGAGGTGTCAGAGGGCATATCTCTGGTGGTCTTTGTTGGGAATGGGGAGAGGAGGTCCTAAAGTGGCTTTAAATGAAGAACCACAGGAAGAATCAAGTGATTTTTGCAAAGAGAAGGACAGTGAGGCTGATAAGTCATGGGAATAGCTGCTAGCAAAACAAGAAGGCACACAGGAGGCAATGGTTACTCCTCAGAGCCTGGGCCTCCATGTACACAAAAACAATTATAGGGTCTTTCTGAGTGTCATTGATCCTGATGCTTTAGGCTCTGAAACTCCTCCCTCACCCCAAAACACACCCATCACCTCAGGGGGCCAGTTTGACCACAACCAGCTCATATCCCTGAAAAAGCATCCTCTGCACACTGACCCTGGGCAGTCTTTCTGGAAACA